GTTGGTTAGGCAACCAGTAGTGTCTGCCATACAGTGGCCAAAGGACAGGCAGAAAGAGAGTAGGAATGTGTCCAGACAGGTGGGAAGAAAGTCAGAATGGAATGATGCCAAGGGAAGCATGGAGAAAAGATTCAGGGAGAGAATGATCAAGACTGTTAATGACACAGATAGGGTCAGGAAGGAAAGCACTGAAAAGTGACCACTGGATTGGACAACCAGAAGATCTTTACTGATCTTAGCAAGAGCAATTTTATTTTGTAGACAGCACATGAGAACAATTATACAAAATACGAAGTTATTTATATATCATTATCTGCCACTGATGCCAAGTGCTAGAGCTAATTCCTAGCATTGGGATTGGTTTTCTTGGAATCCAGGTAACTAGGTGACTGATAAGAGGAGGCAATGGGGTTTTGATTTATTGCTGAACAGTAAAGTTTACTGAGACAGAACCCAGTGTTCTGAGCTCAAGTTCAAACACAGCCACATCCTGAGACCTAAGTTAGAGACAGACAAGAGGTCATGATTATGGGACAAATGTTTGCATATCCTCATCTATTTGCTGGTCCACACATGTCTCCACATACGTTCAGATATGTCTACTTACCCAATCAATTCCCACCTCCTCCTCTCTATCTCGGCACATTTACTGTCTAGCTTTGTAAGCAACTGTCTGCAGGAAGCAACTCTGTGCAGGAAGCAACTCTTTGCAGGAGGCTTTTTGTCTTGTCACTTTAGCAAAACTATATTTTAACTAACCTTTACACCAGGTGCCCCCCATGCTTAACTAGCCTCCAGCCCAAACATACCTTTTAAGTCTTTTGATCACACAATGCCTTGCCTAATCTATTGACTCTTTTCTTAGGTTAAAGAAGTAGAAATGGGGCTTCCCTGGTGGCGCAGTTGTTGAGAATCTGCCTGCCACTGCAGGGGACATGGGTTCGAGACCTGGTCCGGGGAGATCCCACGTGCCGTGGAGCAACTAGGCCCGTGAGCCACAACTACTGAGCCTGCGCGTCTGGAGCCTGTGCTCCCAACAAGAGAGGCCGCGATAGTGAGAGGCCCACGCACCGTGATGAAGATGGCCTCCACTTGCCGCAACTAGAGAAAGCCCTTGCACACAAAAGACCTAACACAGCCATAAATAAATAAATAAATAAATAAATAAATAAATAAATAAATAAATAAAATTAAAAAAAAAAAAGAAGTAGAAATGAAGAATAATGAACAGATGACTAGATCTTTTCCCCAGCCTTCCCTTCAGTAATCCTGCAAGCAAACTACATGAACAAGATAGCATCTAAAAGGGGACTTCACTGGCATCCAGTGGTTAAGACTCCACGCTTCCACTGCAGGGAGCACGGGTTTGATCCCTGGTCCGGGATTTAAGATCTCTAGTCATGAAACTAAGATCCCGCATCCACATGGCATGGCCAAAAAAAAGATAGCATCTAAAGGAAGATCATGGGGAGTCTGCACACAGCGGAAAGTGACAAAGAATCTGACCCCCTACCTTAACGATGAACTGAGATTATTTTCCGTTTTTCTCTTTAAAAACTTTCATTGCCTAGGGACTTCCCTGGTGGCACAGTTGTTAAGAATCTGCCTGCCAATGCAGGGGACATGGGTTCGAGCCCTGGTCCGGGAAGATCCCACATGCTGCAGAGCAACTAAGCCCGTGCACCACAACTACTGAGCCTGTGCTCTAGAGTCCGCGTGCCACAACTACTGAGCCTGCACTCTAGGGCCTGTGAGCCACAACTACTGAAGCCCGCGTGCCTAGAGGCCATGCTCCACAACAGCAGATGCCACCGCAACGAGAAGCCTGCGCACCGCACTGAAGAGTAGCCCCTGATGGCTGCCCACGTGCAGCAACAAAGACACGATGCAGCCAAAAATAAATAAATTAAATAAATAAATTTTAAAAAAAAGGAAAGGAAATATAAAAAATTAAGGCTGATGCTCTTTAAGGCAATATGATTCACTTCTGACTGCAGTTGTCCCCTCTGTCCACCCCCCACTGGAGCCAGCCTTTCTGGGTCACTATTTATTTATTTATTTGGCTGCGTCGGGTCTTAGTTGTGGCACGCAGGATCTTCGTTGCAGCATGTAGGATCTTTCGTTGTGGCATGCGTGCTTCTCTCTAGTTGTGGCGTGCAGAATCCACGGCGTGCAGGCTCAGTAGCCTTGCGGCATGTGGGATCTTAGTTCACTGACCAGGGATCAAACCCGCATCCCCTGCGTTGGAAGGTGGATTCTTAACCGCTGGACCAACAGGGAAGTCCTTCTGGGTCACTTTTTAAAGTCCAGCCTGTAAGGCACTGTTGGATTGGAAGCCAGGAGAGCCCCACTGTAACAGGCAGGGAGCCAGGCTAGGAATGTGAAACAGTGAGAATGTGAAAAAGGCTGAGCCATTTCAGGGTGCTCTTAAAATATGAAAAAATGACTTTTTCCATTCCAAAAATAATTCAGGAAGTCAAGTCTTGGGAGGAAGCTTCAGTCTAACAGTGAAATCTGGGAAAGGTACAGGAAGTACACAACTTGAAAGATATATTGCAAAGATTTCTTTTGCCTTACAACATTCAGCAGACTATGGCTGTTTCTGTGATTATTTTTATAGATTAAGAGGGCCCAAAAAATAGTATCTCACTGGGTACATTCATCTTCCCAACCATTCTAAGACATGGCACCAGATCTGTCTTTGTTGCTGTCAAACCATTCAAAGCAGACTCTACATTAGCCTTTCTAGCCTGTGAAATAAAAAAAGCAGGAATTGCAGGGAAGTTTGTGCTCTGGGGGGCACAGAGGACTTTTCTTCCACTGCTTTGCAATTTGGAAAGTTGCCATGCATTCGGGTTCCACTCAAACAAGCTTTTTCCAGACCCCAGAACAAATTGTAGCCAGAAGCTCTGCTCTTTGTCAGGAGGCAATTGCAGCCCAGACTTAGCCAGGATCTTGCCCTCTACTCTCAGAGAACAAGTTCACTTTATGTGCAGGGATCCTGGTTCTTCTTTTACCTGGGGATGGGACATAGCCCCTGGTTCTTTCCGGAAAGCCCCCAACTGTCCTGAGGTTTCTGTTTTGTTTTGTTTTGGTTTGGTTTTTAATAAATTTATTTTATTTATTTATTTTTGGCTGCATTTGGTCTTCGTTGCTGTGCGTGGGCTTTCTCTAGCTGCGGCGAATGGGGAGCTACTCTTCGTTGTGGTGTGCAGGCTTCTCATTGCAGTGGCTTCTCTTGTTGCGGAGCACAGGCTCTAGGCACATGGGCTTCAGTAGTTGTGGTGCGTGGGCTTAGTTGCTCCGAGGCATGGGGGATCTTCCCAGACCAGGGCTCGAACTCATGTCCCCTGCATTGGCAGGAGGATTCTTAACCACTGCGCCACCAGGGAAGCCCAAGGTTTCTGTTTTGCTTTCATCATTGTCCAGGTTATATCTGATCTCTGGATATCACTTCTTCCTAGTATCAGTGATTGAAATGTTTCAGTCTTTCCTCTTCCCCTTTCCTTCTCTTTAGCCACTGTAGATTAGTGAAGCAAAATAAATAGGCCTCTGTCTCCATTGTTGGAGACCCAGGCAATTAAACGTTTGAGGGGCTGCACACAAGTTAGAGATCTATGAACCCTCGTAGGAAGTTAAAGCCAAGGCGCATGGTACCTATTTTGTGATCAGATATTGTTTTCCTTTGTTAGAGATCAACTTTCCTTCCTTTTAAGGCAAAGAATCCCTTATGGGAACCATCACAACAATCCCGATGACTACAAAGAGGATAATGCAACTGTTCTATATCTTGAATGTGGTGGTTCCACAACTGTATGGGGATTTTAAAACTCATAAAACTATCTCTGAAAAAGGCCGATTTTTACTATACATAAATCATACCTCAATGGAGAACACCAACAACAATCTGGTTTAAGTAACATGCAAAAATGTGTAAGATACAATGCTAAAGCAGGGGGGAAAATGACAGCATCTACAGCTTATGTTGATATATGAATAAGGAGGAGGATATCAGGAGAATTTAAAACTGTGCTTTGTTGAATAAGGAGATAATTTTCCCTTTCAAAAATTTACTTGTGGGCTTCCCTGGTGGCGCAGTGGTTGAGAGTCCGCCTGCCGATGCAGGGGACACGGGTTCGTGCCCCAGTCCGGGAAGATCCCACATGCCGTGGAGCGGCTAGGCCCGTGAGCCATGGCCGCTGAGCCTGCGCGTCCCGAGCCTGTGCTCCGCAACGGGAGAGGCCACAACAGTGAGAGGCCCGCGCACCGCAAAAAAAAAAAAAAAAAAAAAAAAATTTACTTGTAATTGATGCTATGAGTTTTTTGAGCTGTAAATATGTTTTAAAACTTAAAGATGAGTGTTCATAAAATGTGTGGAGCTGAACACTTAAAATTAGTTCATTTTATGCACTTTATATTATATATCAATTACAAAGTTTTTAAAGAAGGCTTAAAGAAAAGTTGCGGGTGGTGGTCACAAGAGTGTACATCCACATGAAAAAAAAATTCACCCAAATGAAAAAAAATTCATTTTTTTGAAATTTATTCAGTCTACCGTATAGTACACCTTAATTTAAAAAATACATAAATTTAAGTCTTCTGGCGATGTGGTGGACACGCGGTCAAAGCCCGACGGCGATGACTCATACCCAGAACAGGCCTCCTGGAGCGCAGCCCACCCCCGCAGTACCTGCTCTCGCTCTGCCTGCGGCCGGGGAGCCTGCAGGGGGCACCCGAGTCTCTCGGGGGAGTTGCGGCCCCGCACAAAGACTCGCGGCTCCCGGGAACCCAGGGCCTTGGGGCCCAAGGCGGGGAAGGACTTGGGAATCCCCGCCCCTCCCGCCCCGCAGCGGGTCGGGGAATCGCCGCCTCTGGCCACCCAGCCACACCACTCCCCGCCGGCCGCGCTGACGTCACCGCCCCGCCACCCCGCCTCGCTTCGCCGTTCCCGCCCCGCCCCCTTTCCCGGCTGGCGCCGCGGTGAGGCTCCTCGCCCTCGACTTCTGCCTGTCGCCCCAAGATGGCGGACACAATGAGCCGGTGCCGCGCCGGTTGGCCCTGAGGCGACCGTGAGGAGGACCGGTCTGCGAGACCCCATAGTCCCGGCAGAAGAGTGTTGCACAAGCAGGAGGAGGAAGCGGAGGAGGCGGCCCGACTGTCGGCCGCTCTCCAGCCCGCCGCCGGCGCGGCGCCCGCCCCGCCCGGGTCGGCCCCTCGGCAGCCCGCCCGTTCGCCGGGCTCCGCCCCGGCTCTGCGCCGCCGCCGCCGCCGCCACCAGCAGCCGCCGCCATGAAGCTGACCGACAGCGTGCTGCGGAGCTTCCGCGTCGCCAAGGTGTTCCGCGAGAACTCGGACAAGATTAACTGCTTCGACTTCAGCCCCAACGGCGAGACGGTCATCTCGAGCAGCGACGACGACTCCATCGTGCTCTATGACTGCCAGGAGGGCAAGTGAGTGCACCGGTGGCCTTGGGCCCGGGTCTGAGTCCCTCCCGCCCTCCCTGTCGTGGCCCTGCGCTCCCCCCGCGGCCCGCCCTCTAACCCGGTCTGGCCCGCGGCCTGTATTGCACACGCTCCCGCTGGGGCCGCGTCCCCTCAGAAGCCGTCCGGGAGACCATTTTTTTTTTTCTTTTAAAATAACGATAGCAATAACAGTAATCATATATTTGTTTTGTCTGCCTTCGGTCTCCTCACAGACAGCCTTAGCATCTCTGACCAAACCACACCTTGACCTTGACCTTTAAACGCAGGGTCCGCCCACCGCTGCCCCAGCTGGTAGCTTTAACGCTCCTCTGACTCCGTCGAAGGTGCCACTCGGCTGTGGCCCCCGCGCAGAACCGCAGAGGCTGCTCTGCTGCTTCGTTCAGCAGCGGCAGCTCGCTCTCTCTGCCCTCTGCTCGGTCACCTCGATTCAGCCCTGGTACTTCACCCGACCCCTGCCCCTCAGCTTCCCGCCGCCCTTCTGCCGGAAGGCCGCGTGGGTTGCAGTTGTTAGCTGTCAGGATTTATTTGTCGCCTCTTTGGGCCCCCTGACATTTCCTTTCTGGTCCAAATCATTCTCTTGCTCCCTCAGTCCTGATGCCCATGTTTATAGTTAACTTTTTACCTGCATCCAAAACTTTTCCTTTTTGCCAGACACACCTGGCTGTCGCATCCCAACCTGAATGTGAACCTCCTAGTAGAACAAAGAAAGCATCGTCTGACAATTTCGTGTTTCTTCTTATACTTTTTTTAAAAATTATACTTTATGGTCCTCTTGGACTTATCATAATTCCGAGTCTGATCATGACATTTCTAGGTTGTCCCAAGTCCTATGGAGACTCACCACACCTGTATCTCTGCAAGATCTTAAAAGCACAGCTTTTTGCCTTTTTCCCTGGGGACCTGTCAGCTTCCCCTCACCCCCGCCCCAGACTTGCTTTCTCCAAATCCTTGCTAAATTGTGATCTTCTTTTTGAATCCTTGGGTTTTTCTTTACCTTCTCCAGCTGTTCCTTTTGTCTGTTTTGCTTAAACCAATGTTTTCTATAAACTTTCTTTTGGAACTTGTCTCTTCATTTGTGAATTTGGTTATCTGAAGTAAAGCTGTATTGGTCTGGGCTATATTGTTCTGCCCAATTTTTTCCCATTTGGGCTGTGGAAAAAGTATTATGTAACTGGCTCTGGATCTGCTTGCGGTATGTGGAAGAGTGGCCTATAGTGGTGGTCCTGAGGGAAGAGAGAATTGTTAGCTGGACTGATGCTGAGAGATGTGAGTCAATGTTATTCATTTCATAGATGGGTTTTGGTCCAGGTCCGGCCACTTGCATTAGCCTGGAATAGAAAGTAACGTATAAAGCTAGGGTGGAGATTGGGGTTGTGGGGTACTGGAGCTAGAAGTAAATTGAAGCTGACTTGCTTGAAATGTTTAGTGCTTGTGCACAGATTAGAACTTCTCCCTGGATGAATTTGAGGATGGAGATGTATATCCTCATTCAAAGAAAATGAAGGTTGTGGCAGCATTTCTTCACAGTTTCTCTCCAAATACTGCATAATTTCTGCGGTTGGTAGGAATGACATTGACTTGAAGGCTGTCTTGTTAAAAGTAAAATGTTAATTTTATAACATAATGCAGTTTATTCATTCATGTAGCATTTTTACATAATTACAAACTTGCAGAAAAGTTACATCATTGTTTCAAAGAACTCCAGGACCCAATAATTGGTTATATTTTGCTCTGTTTGCTTTGTCATTCTCTGTAGACACACACACACACACACACACACACAAGTTTTTCTTTCCCTGAGCCATTAGAGAGTAATTTGGAGGTATCAAGCCCCTTTATCCTAAACACTTCAGCATGGATTTCCTAAGCACAAGGACGTTTTCTTAGGTAACCAGAGTACAATTATCCAAATTAGGGAATTTAACATTGATACAATAGTATACAGCACGCTCTTTAAAATATTCGTATGGATTAATTGTGACCTTGTTTCATTGTGATCAGAGAGCAACCTGATAGGAGACCTGGGTTCTAGTTTGGCCTTGTGACCAGGTATGTGACATTGGTCAGATCACTTCGCTGACCTCTAGGAATCTGTGATCCTAAGTGGTAATGTGAAGAAAAAATTTGCCACTAGTGTAGGTCAAACCAACATTGGAAGAAAATAACATTTTCTTGGAAGGCACAGTATCTTTATTGGATGGTACTAATGTTGGGAGTTTGAAAATGGCTAAAATAAGATTCTTTATGCTTAATATTTTCCATGTGTACTGTTCACTTAAACTTTCTTTGTAATAGAGTTCATCCATTGAGTGATTTTTTTAATTTTAATTTTTTGGCTGCACTACATAGCATGTGGGATCTTAGTTCCCCAATCAGGGATCGAACCTGCAGTCCCTGCATACAGAGTCTTAACCACTGGGCCTCCAGGGAAGTCCTGAGTGTTTTGTTTTGTTTTTTTTTTTTTAATTTGAAAGTATACAAAGGATGTTATCTGTGGTAGGTGATGCGAATTATTCAGAGAGAAGGATTTAATATTATTTATTCGTACCTGATCACCAGAATCATAGTTTGTGCAGAGAAGCTTACCACAATATTCGTGAAAGAATGTTATGCATAAGCTCTGTAAGATCCTCTGAAATGGATGCATTAGGATCTTGCTTTCAAACTAGGAAATGATATGAGGTAAAAGATTTATGTTATTAAGAACAAAATCTCAGGTTAATACTATATATATATTTGAGACAAATAGGCCGTATATAAGTGGAACTGAAAATTTTCCTTTAACATTGGTTCTTCAGGCTCTGTCTTCATTATTGTAGGGTAAATACTGAGATAAGTAAGCTTCTGTTTCCATTGGTAGGAGCAAAGTCAACTATCTTTTGAGAGCAAGCACACATTCACACGCACGTTCACTCACTCACTGGTTACCACACAGTAACTACATGGCAGAACCCAGGGTGGTGGACTTAACAAGGTAGCATTTGAGCTGTTCTTTTTGTTTAGTTGATCTTTCAGTAAAGGTAAAAATGTGGAAAATTAAGTGCATTTGGAGTGAGAAGTCTTGTTTGTAAATAGGTTTAATGTAGGGAAACCCTTGACGTCACAAAAATTGAAAGTGCAAATGATTAAAGTTCCCTGAGTCATCTGATTGTTTAGCATCTAGGTTTCAAGAGGCTTTTACATTGAGAGGGTGAATTTCCTTTTCATAAATTAACTTCTTGATAAACATTAATATAGGATTTATGAAATTCTCCTATACCTAAATGTAGAATATTATGAAGTTTTTGGTTAAATATTTTGCTGAGATCAGTTTCAGCTTGATCTTCAAGGTGCTATAGAAGAAGATAACATTTAAGGAACTTCAACAAATGGACTGATAACCTCTAGCTTAGAAATATGTGATTTTACATTTAAGTAAAGAGAAAAGAATCAATGACTAGTTTTGTTAGGGAGAGTGAGGTTTGTCTTGTAAAAGGCTCAGTAAGTGCTTTGGACCTGTAAGAGAGGATGGAAATATTAGGTTATATTAGGAAAGGCAGTTTTGCATCTGGTTTCGGTTTTGATAAATCATTTCTTCTTAAAGAAAGAGCTTCTTTCCAAGTGAATGGCTTAAGTTCTGGCCTCATTGGTCTGGCGTATTCCCATTTTCCTCTTTCTTGGAAGTTATGACTTGTTTTGTGTGTCTTTCTTCCCAAATAGATGTACTTCTTCTCAAAGCTTACTTTTGAACATTGTAGTAAAGGCTGATTTGAGCCCTCAGATTTACTTCCACTTCCTAACTTCGGCATTTGGTATCCAGAGGTGAAAGCCTGTTGGACTTGATTGATTCTGTTTGTTTCCACCCTTTTGGAAGAAATTCTGTTTCTTTTCAGTGTTAGAGGTTACCAAGAATCTTCACCCTTCCCACATCATTCAAGTGCTTCTCTTTATATGAAGATCCTAGATTTTGGTGATGGAGGATTTTGATGGTTTTCTTTCTCTGTCCATTTCCTCATCAGACCAAAGAGAACCCTGTACAGTAAGAAATACGGCGTGGACCTCATCAGATACACTCATGCAGCAAACACAGTCGTTTACAGCTCTAACAAAATAGACGGTAAGCAAGCCTTCTTTTTAGGAAGTTATGGTCATGGTTTCCTTTGTTAAATTGTTCACGGAATCTTTGTGAGTACTTCTGTTTGGTTATAGTTACTTTAAATTTTCCTATGATGTTAGCTGTGCTAATATTGTTATGACTGAAGGGATGCTGGAAGCAAGCAAGCCATTAGTACTTTTGAAGGACTTGAAACTGAGTATGAAAGGTCTCCAGTTTAGAGTGGAGAGTGGAAATAGGAAGCCACAAATTGTATTTACGGTTTGAACTTCTTGAAACGAATACTTTTAGAAGAAATAAAAGGAAAGAATACTTGACAGCAAGTGGTAAACAATGCTACCTTCCTGTTCAAAATATATAGATTTGAGAATAGTTTTACAGATGCTTGAGTTATGGTAGTTTAGCAGACCTTAGAAGAGTTTTTGGTGTGTGCCCAACCATTTATGGTCTGTGTCACAAAGGACAGTATACTGACTTTAGTTATCTTTGATTCCAGGGACACTTTTTGATTTGAATTTTATCCCTTTTTCCTTTTATTTATTTATCTTATCTTTTTTGGCCGCACTGCACACATGTGAGATCTTAGTTCCCCAACCAGGGATCAAACCCGCGGCCCCTGCATTGGTAGCATGGAGTCTTAGCCACTGGACCACCAGGGAAGTCTCTCCCTTTTTCCTTTTAAATAAAGTTAATGTCTTTGAAGAATAAAGACTTATTTTTAGAAATTAAACTTGTGAATTTCTTTCTCTAATAAAGGATCTCTGCCTTTACCTGCTTTTCCCCTGGGATAAGTCATTCTCAGTTGACAGATTGTCTTGGAATTGAGCTATAACACTTTCATGTTAGGACTTTTTTTTTTTTTTTTAACTTATCTCACTGATTTGTTGATTGTTTCATTTTTAGCAGTACAGTTTTTCTAATGTCATTCAACAAAGATTTCTTAGACCGCTGTTTTGGTTATGCCTATCTCAGAGCAGATGGGTAGAAGTCTTTTTTTTTTTTTTTTTTTTAAATGAGACTTTTCTGCCTGTACTTGTTTTTTAGTAAGTATATCGTTTATACTTTTCATGCCTCTATTTCAGAAGTGGTTTTCTAAGTAAGCAGTGCAATTGATGCTTTTGGACAAGAATATAAAACAGGATCTTGAGGAAATATATCTCTGTGATCATCTGAATGAATGGTATATTTCTTCTATTGGGGTGTATTTCTTCTGTTGGGGTGTTTTTCTGGGTGATTAAATGAGGATTCTCCAAATATGGTGCAAGATGAGGCAAATGTGTGGCACTTGCAGCTTTGCTGCCAGGCCTCTGCTGTGAGGATGTTGCCTTTCCTGTCTCGAGTGCATCCATCCTGAAGAGTTCCTCCAACGCTCCGTATCATTTTGCCTGATTCCAGGCTGAGGTAGTAGTTTGTACAGTTTGAGGGTCTATGATACCACCCGGTACAGGAGATAACTGTACAGGCCACTGCCTTGCCAGGAACAGCGCGCCAGCTACCGAGTGGGGCGGAGAGGATGGCGACGCCCTGCTCATCTCTGGGAAAACCAGGTAATGGGGAGGAAGTCTTTTTCTGCTTAGGGCAGGTGAGTAGTTCCTAGCAATAGAACAACCAGGAATACTTTATAGTTGTCATTCGAGAACTTTGAACATGTTTTCAAAGAAAACCATATTTAGTTTTGGAACATACAAAGAGTGCCTTTTTCCCTCTCCCAGGTTAAATGCCCTCTTATTAGTACCCCTGTGAACCACTGGGATGACTTGGTGCTTTCAGCCTTTCTGTTTCTGTGTTGTGTTTGCCTCCAGAATGTTCTTTCTATGCTTTCCTTTCTGTATTTTGGCCCCATTTCCTATAACCTTTTTCTCAACAATTGTTTCTTATTCCTAGTCTTTTCAGGGGCATTGTACTTTCCAGTTCTGTTCTTTATGGCACTTCGTTCCTTTCCCACCACCATCATTTTTTGTTTTGCTTTTTCAGAGGGATCATTTGGTTTTTAAGAGTATTTGTCTTATTTGCCCCAAGCACAAATCTCTGTGATTATTTCTTTCTTGGATATTGTCAAATTCTCACTGCTATGACTTGGTATAGTTCATGACTTTGATTTTTAAATGTCTTGTGATCTTTTTAACCTAAATTTTCTCATTTCCTTTGGCCACTTTATAATTCACTTTTCTGCATAAGGGACCATTGGATAGTTGGTTAATTAGAAAAGAAGTAGTAGAACATTAATTCTCTTTCCATTTTATTTAGTTTTAATGTAAATTGTGTATCCAGTTTACATTAAGATGAGGTGAGGGTTGGGTTGACATGCTGTTGGAGAACGCTGGACAAAAGTATCTTATGCCAGAATCCAGCCTGATCCTCAGCTCAGCATGGCTGTTTAATTCTTTGAGTCTATTTCCTCAGTAGCCATATGTTTTTCTTTAAGGTTTGCCATTCTGTGGGCATTAAAATTGTTGTGAGTTTTTTTTTTGGGGGGGGTGCATATTTGCAGGACAAGTTTCATTGTAACTATGCAGAAGCCAAAGATTGGCAGCAATAGTGATTTTAAACATTGCTGTATATGCTGTCAACTTGAGAACTCTGCTTTTGAATTACGTGAAATCTCTAGTCCCGTGAAAAGTAGTTATTCACTATTATTTATTCATACCTTGCTTGGATTATGGAAAACAATGAATTCTTTGACCTTGTCTTTTCAAGATGAAAATGCAAAGTAAATTCCTTTAAAAATAGTAGGATATCATCATGCCTTATTTATCTTCTTACAGATACTATCCGTTACCTGTCCTTGCATGACAACAAATACATCAGATACTTTCCTGGACATAGCAAAAGGTAAGATGCACGTGTTACAGAAGTAGATAGTTCTTTTATCCCTGAGGTTATCCAGAGAATGAAAGAGTGGAGAGATTTTATTAGTGAACTGAAGCTAGTTTCTCACCGCTGTTTGGCATACCTCTTAATCTTCTCTTGTTAACCTTCCCTAAACAGTCAACTCATGATTAATCGAGGTTGTAGAGGCCAGGGGTAGGACTTCATAGATAAACCGAAACCTCAGTTAAAACATTAATAGGAAGAATGTGGATTAAAGATATTCAGTGGAAACCTATGTAGTAAAAATAACATTTGGCATTTAGGGATCCCAAATATCAGACATCCCTTAATGAAAGTACATTTACATGTTTGAGGCCTTCCAGTATAGGTGGCCCCCATTTCAGCATGACCCTGCTCTACATAAATGTGTTCCACATGAAGAGCTTAATGAATATGTAAAAAAAATTAATAAAATTGTTGGCTTCCCTGGTGGCACAATGGTTAAGAATCCGCCTGCCAATTCAGGGGACACAGGTTCAAGCCCTGGTCTGGGAAGATCCCACATGCCGTGAAGCAGCTAAGCCCGTGCGCCACAACCACTGAGCCTGCACTCTATAGCCTGCGAGTCACAACTGCTGAGCCTGCGTGCCACAACTACTGAAGCTCATGTGCCTAGAGCCCATGCTCCGCAAAACAGAAGTCACCGCAGTGAGAAGTCCGCACACCGCAACAAAGAGTAGCTCCCGCTCACCGCAGCTAAAGAAAGCCCGCATGCAGCAACAAAGACCCAACGCAGCCAAAAATAAATAAATAAATAAATTTATTTTAAAAAAATAACAAAATTTTCCTTTCGTACATTTTGAAAGTCAAGAAACCTGTTTCCTTATTTTTTTTTAAAGGTATATATTTATTTTTATTTTTTTTGGCTGCGTTGGGTCTTTGCTACGTGCGGGCTGTCTCTATTTGCGGCGCTCGGGGGCTACTCTTCCTTGTGGTGTGCAGGTTTCTCATTGTGGCTTCTCTTGTTGAGGAGCACAGGGTCTAGGCACATGGGCTTCAGTAGTCGCGGTGCATGGGCTGTAGGGCATGAGGGCTTCAGTATTTGTGGTGTGCAAGCTCAGTAGTTGTGGCTTGCGGGCTCTAGAGTGCAGGCTCAGTAGTTGTGGCACATGGGCTTAGTTGCTCCATGGTATGTTGGATCTTCTCAGACCAGGGATCGAATCCGAGTCCCCTGCATTGGCAGGCAGATTCTTAACCACTGAGCCACCAGGGAAGTCCCCCTTATTCTGTTCTGTAATGCAGGTTGCTTCTCTCTGTCTCATCCCAATTCCCCTGTTATTTTTCCTCCAGTTTTTCGAGTTTGGGCTGAATGTTAAACACATTTTCCCTTGGATGATATATTAATCATAGGTGCTTTCCTTTGCAAATGTACAGTAACCCTGTGTAGCTTGGAGTGGTTCAGAGCCCTGACAGGAGGTAGACCAAGAGCACTGTTTTCAGCTGCACTTCTGATTGGGCAAGGGCATTTCTGTGTTGCTGAAGATAAGAGGTGGCAGCTGTTGGTTACTGTGTAGTTCAAAGAATGGCTTGTGACAAGTAGATGTTTTTGCTTGTTTATAGTCAAATTAATGTTCACAAATATACTGTCTGTAATTAAGAGTTGATTGCAGGGCTTCCCTGGTGGCGCAGTGGTTGAGAGTCCGCCTGCCGATGCAGGGGACATGGGTTCGTGCCCTGGTCCGGGAAGATCCCACATGCCGCGGAGCCTGCACGTCTGGAGCCTGTGCTCCGCAACGGGAGAGACCACAACAGTGAGAGGCCCGCGTACCGCAAAAAAATAAATAAATAAATAAAAGAGTTGATTGCAGTTGTTTGAAATTCTTTCCAATCTTCCCAGTTGCCCAATCTCTTGACCTCCTGACCTCCTGATTCTTAATAGATGACTTTGTCCCTCCTTTTTTGAGAAAATCAAGGCCATCCAAAATGAGTTCAACTCCTCTTTCACCTAAACTCCTTTCTTCCTTAGAACACTTTCCCTGAGAAAGAAGTAGCCTTTTCTTCTTTGAGAAAACCAACCCCTCTGTTTTTACTTCCGTCTCCTTACTGGACTTTGCTGCCCACAAACTTAGTTGGTCTTCTAAATTTATTTACTTTTATTTATTTTATTTTTGGCTCCGTTGCGTCTTCGTTGCTGCACGTGGGCTTTCTCTAGTTGTGGTGAGCGGGAGCTGCTCTTCACTGTGGTGCGCAGGCTGCTTATTGCGATGACGTCTCTTGTTGTGGAGCACGGGCTCTAGGTGCACGGGCTTCAGTAGTTGTGGCACTCTGGGCTCAGTAGTTGTGGCTCACGGGCTCTAGAGCGCAGGCTCAGTAATTGGCGGCACACGGGCTTAGTTGCTCCATGGCATGTGGGATCTTCCCCGGGCTGGGGCTTGAACCCGGCAGGCGGATTCTTAACCACTGCGCCACCAGGGAAGCCCTACTCACCAGGGGAAACCTACTCAGTCTTCTTTATCTTCCTTATGGTCTTCTTTATCTTCCTTATATTAAATTTATCTCTTGAGCATGTCACCCACTTCTTTTCGCCATCAAAGATAAAAGAATAATCTGCATATTCCCTTCTCCACCTCCTCATACTCATTCACTGTTTAACTCACTCATCTAAGCCAAGCTGTTTACTCCCCTTTCCCTGCTGCCTCCAGGTAAAATCCACTGCCTGGGACTCTTTGGTGCTTAACCCCTCAGTAAAACTTTTTTTTCCTTTGGCTTCTCATCTTGGTTCTGTTTTTGCTATTTTTTGCCTCTCTTTCTCTTTTTGACTCTAAACAAGGTTCTACCCTAGCTTTTTTCTCCTCCTCTTGGTATTTGGGCCATCACTGATTTCATTCACCTCAGATAGCTTCCCAAATCAGTATTTTCAGCCCATAATTTCCAGACTCAACTTCTACCTACAGGTCCAATACTCCGTCCATCGTTAAATTCCTTGGGCCAGCTCCTCTGTCTGCCTCATGTTTCTTCACCTCTGTCCCTTCCAATTCTCCCGACTCAAAGTCTCTGTTACCTGTTCACTACTTTTTCCCTGCCTTCACATCCGGTGAGTTGTTAAATCCCGTTGATTCTACTTAGGTTTAACCTCATGTGTCATTGTGCTCCATACTCCTTTGCTTCTGTCCTAGCTCAGGTAAATTATTGTCAACTCCTAATCTCCCCGTCCCTCAACATCCTGCTTCTGCACCCTGTTTTTACAGCTCTGACCACAGCCTCCCTCAAGAAACCTTGGAGTCAGATTCTTTTCCCTCTGCCTGACCCATTTTCCCAGTGTTATCTCCTACCACTCCAGTTGAAGTGAACTCTGGGCTGGTTCCTGAACTGCCTCATGCCTTCCTATCTGGCAACTTCCAGAAAGGCCACTCCCATTGAAACCCTGTTCACCACAGGTGCTGCTTCTTCCTGAAAGCCTTCTCTGACCCTCTCTTGGACGTTGTCTGGACTAGACAGTTAAGCTTCCTTAGAGTTGAAGTCTTGTTCCTCCTTGTATTCCCTCTACCTCTCATCGTAGAGCCTTGTGCCAAGATAGACTTCCTCTGAACTTTTGACCTGAATACTGTGATGTAAAATTACGTGTTCATATGCATTCTGCTCACTCCGTTTTATTACCACCTCAGCATTCCCAGGAAATTTTGGCTTATAGTATCTTTTAAATTTTTAAGTTGATGATCTAGTGCAAATGTTAATTTAGTTATATTGGAAGAATTTTTTTTTTCTTGGTCAAAAACTTTAAGAAAAAGTACATTTTTCCATTTTTTACTCATGGCATACATTTTAATTCTTTCTAGTGGAACCAAAACTTCCTGAACCCCTTTCAGAGTCATCCAAAATTTGAACTTCTTCTATTTCTACATTTAAAAAACCCATTCACAAATGAGCTGTGCAATTTGATCCACTTTTTTTACTCCAATTTTTTTTTTGTCAAAATGAGACAGTATAGCACCAATATTTCCTCTGTAATCTTCACCTGTGACACCAGCTCCTTTGTCTGTGAAGCGTTTTTTAGCCAAGGCAGAATGTGGAACTACTCTTCCATAACACCCAGAAGGAAGAGCCATCTGAGTGTCCATTTTCACAAGGGCTTCCTCTGTAGATGGTACTACAGACTCATAGGCACTGTACAGGTCATAGCCCACGGACCTCAAGGATCCCTCTGGTTAGGGCCGTGGCATGCTCCAAGAGGCAAGTAAAGTGGAGCCACATGCCATCCTTCTCCACGGGCTGGGCCCAAATGCCGGGGAGATGATGGGTGTCCTCAACGCAGAGCGTGGCAGAGCAAGAACATGAGCAGAGGGGACAAGAGAGCTCAGGATGAGGCCTTGGAAGAAGTGTTTTTCAGTGAGTGACTGGTGTAACCATAAGAGGGGACCCATATTAGAAATATAGCATAGGCTATTAGCATAGGGCTGTGGCTCTCTAAGTGTGGGGCCCAAACCACCAGTCTCACCATCAGTGAGGAGCTTGTTAGAAACACAGATTCTCAGACCTCACCCCAGACCTACTGGATTAGAAATTCTGGCAGTGGATCCCAGCAGTCTGTTTTAACCCACCCTCCAGGTGATGCTGGTGCCACTCAGGTTTGAGAACAACAGTATAGTCCACAAACCTCCAGTTAAGGAATCATGCTTTTTTTTTTTAAATTGAGATATAGTTCAGTACCATAAATTCATCCTTTTAAAGTGTACAATTCAGTGGTTTTTAGTATATTCACAGAGTTGGGCAACCATCACCACTATCTAATTCCAGAACATATTCATCACCCCAAATAGAAACCCTGTACCCATTAACACTTCCCATTTCCCCTCTTCCCAGCCCCTGGCAACCACTAATCTTTCTGTCTCTATAACTTTGCCTATTCTGGATATTTTGTATAAATGGAACCAGATCATATGTGGCCTTTTGTGTCTGACTTCTTTCACTTCATACATGTGGTAATATGAATCAGTACTTCATTTCTTTTTTATTTATTTATTTTTGGCTGCGTTGGGTCTTCATTGCTGCGCGCGGGCTTTAGTAGCGGTGAGTGGGGACTACTCTTCATTGTGGTGCGCAGGTTTCACATTGCGGTGGCTTCTCCTTGCGGAGCACGGGCTCTAGGCTCGCGGGCTCACTAGTTGTGGCTCGCAGGCTCAGTAGTTGTGGCGCACGGGCTTAGTTGCTCTGCAGCATGTGGGATCTCCCCAGACCAGGGCTCGAACCTGTGTCCCCTGCATTGGCAGGCGGATTCTTAACCACTGCGCCACCAGGGAAGCCCCAGTACTTCATTTTTTTTTATTGCCAAATAATATTCTTGTATGACAATAACACGTTTTCTTTATTCATTCATTAGGTGATGGACATTTGGGTTGTTTCCACTTTTTAGTAATTATGAATAATGCTGTTGTGAACATACATGTACGGGGGATTTTTTGGACATATGTTTTCATTTTTCTTGGGTATATACCTAAGAGTAGAATGTTTGGATCATATAGTAACTCTAACTTTTTGAGGAAGTATAAAACTTATTCAAAGCAACTGTACCATTTTACATTCCTACCGGCAGTGTATGAGGGTTCCAGTTTCTCCACATCCTCACCAACAGTTGTTATCTCTCTTTTTGATTATAGCTTTGCTAGTGGGTATGAAGTGGTATTTCATTATGATTTGATTTGCATTGGAATCATATGTTTTTATGCTGTAGCTTTAAGTTGCTTTTTTATACTAATTGCCTTTGATTGTTCCGGATTGCTTGTGTATGTGTTTCTTAAAATGAAGTTTTTAGGAGAACACATATGTATAGGTAGGTAAAGTGGTTTAGAGTTCATATCCAATTCTTGTTAATATTTCGCTTCAACTACTATTTATCTTGATGCATTGCAGGGTGGTGGCCTTGTCCATGTCACCTGTGGATGACACTTTCATTTCTGGGTCTCTTGATAAGACCATTCGGCTCTGGGATCTCCGGTCTCCTAACTGCCAGGTAATGTTGCCTCACAGTTACACTTTAGGCGTTTTCAACTCTCCCTCTCAAGGAAGGGGGAAAGCAGTGATTCTTTCCTGGGATCCCAGAGTCTTTAAATTTTGGAGAAGATCTTTTACTGGTAGGTAGCTGGTAATTAAGCTAATACCTTAATCCGGTGCATACTTATTATGATCTGTGGCTTAGTGCTTTAAAAGCAGTTTTCCTGGAGCCTTTGAGCTATATATTTTAGACTCCAAGGATTTGTTTTTATTTGAATTCAGTGTCTATAAAATTATACAGTTAGGGTTGATCTGAAATCAATTGCATGGAGACCAGGTTTTTTTTTAACTTCATTTTAGTTAGTTTTGTGTTTGCTTTTGGTAGGATCCTGGGTTCATTAACTTTTTTAAAATTTCTTTTTTCTCAGGGTCTCATGCATTTACAGGGCAAGCCAGTTTGTTCTTTTGATCCAGAAGGATTAATTTTTGCTGCAGGTGTCAATTCTGAAATGGTCAAACTTTATGATCTTCGCTCTTTTGATAAGGTAAATCTTTGAATCTTTGAACCGTCTTGATATTATGGAAGTTTTGAAGGGTGAGATGGACATTTAAGAGCCTTTTTCTACAGTAGAGGAGGTATGTGGTAGATATTAGAAAGTGTCAGAGCAGTACTTCATCTTCTGCTTTCCCTAGTCAAAAAGGAATCTAAAGGGATAGAATGAGATTTGGCTCTGGCAGAAGGAATTATTGATGTGCCTTGGGCCTAGGGCTGCTGTCTGTCTTTTGCAGGGGCCATTTGCGACATTTAAGATGCAGTATGATCGGACTTGTGAGTGGACAGGGCTTAAGTTCAGCAATGATGGCAAACTCATCCTCATCTCCACCAATGGCAGCTTCATCCGTCTGATCGATGCATTCAAGGGAGTGGTGATGCATACGTTTGGGGTGAGCTGACAACTTTTAACCATGTTTTTTTCCCCATACTCTACCTTTTTTCCATGCTCATCCCTTCTGAGAATTGTGTTAGCTAGTTAGTGGAGACCGGCAGTTGTCCTTGGCTCACTCATCGAGGCATGGACTTGCATTTTCTTCCTGCACGTGGCATTATTTCTTTTGGATTCTGAGACATTCACTTCTCACCCAGTGACTCAAGTTTGGTGTTTAGATAATATAATAAACTTCTGACCATAAACATTTTCTTACCCCCTTGAATATGGAGTTGGGGATAAGGGGGTGAATTGTAAAGGGTGGTAGCCAAATTTGAAACCTTCATAGCACTGTGCATGAGGAAGAAAGGGTTTCACAGAAAGGAAGGTGATGTATGTACTACAACATGGATGAACCTTGAAAACATTATGCTAAGTGAAATAAGCCAGACACAAAAGGACAACTGTTGGACGATTCCACTTTTATATTAGTTTCCTAGAATAGAGATAGATAGTAGAACAGAGATTGCCAGGGAGCAGGGGAAGAGGGAAATGGGGAGTTACTATTAAAGATTATGAAGTTTCTGTTCAGAATGATGAAGAGGTTTTGGAGGCAGAAGATGGTAATGGTTGCATAGCATTTTAAGTATACTTAGTGCCACTGAACTGTACACTTAAAAATACTTAAAATAGTAAATTGTTATCTATATTTTACTGTAAAAAATTTTCTTCATCAAAAAAAAAAGAAGAAGATGTATGTGCTGGGGTCAGTGTTTGTAGGCCATTATTTTTTGTTAATGGCACTGTAATGAGAATTGTTCTGCTTGTTTTAGGGTTATGCCAACAGCAAAGCCGTCACACTGGAGGCCTCGTTTACTCCAGACTCGCAGTTTATTATGATTGGTAAGCTTCCTTTATCCCCCTGCCCCTTGGGTGTTACTTATCTGGTACTGTGCATTATGTTATTTCTGTTAGTTTTAACTAATTTAAGATATTATTTATTATCCTTTTGAGATAGAGTTTCTCAGATTTCTGTGTAGCACGTTATGTCAAAGGTATAGTGTCTTTAAACTGTCCTGACTTTGCTTTCTTTTCTGGGAACGGGCGTTAATGTTGGTCTTCCCTGGACCATCATAGAGTTAAACTCTACAAGCACTGATGTAACCCTTCATTCAGTCACCTTAGTGTAGATGTTCGTAGGGTGGTCGTATTCAGCCCCCTTTTTAAATGAGAAAACTGAAGTTAGAGGGGAAGTGACTTGCCTAGGAACAAATAACTAGGGTCTAGATCAGTTCCCAAAGTGTCTTTTCTTCACTGCCATTACTCCCTCTCCATTTCTGCTGGTGGCTGGGTCCTGAAGCTTGGCCTCTCTCCAGATGTCAATCCATGTCTGTTTGCCACTTGTCTTTGTATTGTGCCTTGAGCTGTTATATTCCTTGATCATTCTCTTCAGGTTCAGAGGATGGCAAGATCCATGTCTGGAATGGAGAGAGTGGTATAAAAGTAGCTGTGTTGGATGGTAAACACACAGGCCCCATTACCTGTTTGCAGTTCAACCCCAAGTTCATGACCTTTGCCAGTGCTTGTTCCAACATGGTATGTGAACAACGGGAGATGTCCTTCATCTAGGGGCCCTTTCCAGTTGGGGTGGTGGGTCCTTCAATGAGCACAGTGAGCTGTGTTCTAAATAGGTACAATTACAAGCACCCAAGTTCATGTTTCAGCTGGTGGCTTCCCTATTTCACCTCTATTATCTGATCTTTGGTTGCGCTGGTCTTTCACTTTTGCTCTTCTTTCCATGACCTGGGATCGCGAGCTCCCAGGAGATCTTAGGCCAGTTTTTTTGCTCTGGCTCCTGGTTTTATGCCCAAACTACCTGGGGCTATACCTCACAGCTTTTTGGCTTCTTAAAATACTTTGAACCAGCCTTTTGTGGCTGTACCCTTTCAGTTTTCCATTCTTCTCAGGTTATGCTGAGTTCATCAGAAATTCTTACAGTTGATCACAACTCACCAGTTAGAGTTTCCTCCAGGCCCCTGTCTCTTCCTAGACAACACTAGCAGAACAAAACATCAGTGAGTCTCAGCCTCCAGTTTCCTCTTAGCATCTCCTAAACCTACCTGGGTATTTGGGTATGAGGCATTTCATTACTAGCCTACCCAGAACACATTGCTCCATTTCTTTTTTTTTTGTTTTTTAAACAAAGAAAACAGTGTCAGAAAAAAATGCAGCAAAACCATCCAGTCCAGTCCCTCACATTTTTTACAGCTCATGAATGAGAGGGTCTGTCTGAGGTCACCTGGTAGATTAGCTGTGAGGCCAAACACCCACCTCCCCAGACAGCACTTCTTCTTTTCTTTACCACTGGACCACTATGGTGGAAGTTAGACAATGTTTACTTTCACATAGATGGGGGAGTGTTTGTCCACAGATTGCCAGAGTCAACTGGTCAGGAGGGAAGGCCACCAGCCATAACTCCTCTAACTGTGGGGTTGGGTGCCTTGATGGTTGGGGAGGGGTAAGAAAAACCCTCAGAAATGAGAGGGGCTTGGCTTTTTAAAGTTGACTTATGTTCTCCTTCCATCCAGGCCTTCTGGTTGCCCACCATTGATGACTGACCTGCATAGTGCTTGGCTGTTTTCTGTACAGCGAGGGTGGCCAGTAGGAAAAAACTCAGAGGGAACTAAGATAATAGTGAGATTGGATCATTTGACTGGGCTGGAGAGCATCCTTCCACATGGCCTTCCCAAGGATGTGCTGTACATTTGCTCAAAAGAAAAAAATTACTTTGTCAAGCTTCTTCAAAAGGACTCTTGGTGCGGCAGATTCAATCAGGACTCAGATTTTCCAGCTGTCACTGCACCGAGCTCCTCCAGAGGAGTGACCAGACTCGTGACTAGGGTATAGTGGGGCCCTCAAGACACCTTCAGTTTTGAATGTATTTGCTGCTGAGGAGTCGGTGAAGTTGTTAATTCTGCACATCCCTTTGCCCACCCCCATAAATGCGTGGGAAGCCACAGTTCTGGTTTTGAGATGCTGGGGCAGCTCAGTGCCCCTTGCCCTCACCCTGCATGTCTTGTTACTGGTTCTCCCTGTGTCATTGTGGCATTATCCACAACCATCATGTTACTTAGGTGCCAAATATTTACAGAAATAAGTCTCCATATATCTTAGGGTCAGAAAGGGACAGATACAGAAGGACCTTGCTTGCCAGGAAGCCTTGCAAGTTAGTCATGTGAGGGTGGATGATCTGGGTGTGCCTCAGGCTCTGGGTGAGGGAGGAGGGGTAGCAGATGAGTTCCTAGGGCTGGGAGGTTTAGCAGCAGCTTGGTGTGGTGCCCTGTCATCAAAACTAACACACAGTCCTTCTGGGTGCCTGCCAAGTTTGGTTGTATACAGAAGCAAGGTGGGCGTCTATTTTTGTACATGAGATACATCACGCTTTTCTGTGGGCCAGTATTGTGGAGTGAGTCTGAGTTGTTTACACTGATGCCTTCCCTGCCCACTGCAAGTTGTGTACATAGTCTCCAGATGATACCACCCCTTCCCCAGCTCCCAACCAGGAGCTGGCTCTAGGCTTGTGTTATATGTTATATTCAGCCTTTTTATATATGACTTGGAATTTCTGTTGTTTGTATTTTAGCACAGTGTGTGTACACCTTCATTTAAATATATCATGTGTGTGCATACATATATACATATATGTATGTATGCGTGTGTGTGTGTGTGTGTGTGTGTATGTGTGTGTATATATATATACACACACATATTTAAAAAGTATCTGAAGGAGATAGAGTCCTCTGCCCCAGGAGAAAAACTGCATTCTTGCTAATAGTGTTTGTCACAAGTGTTAGTCTTCCCTATTACCTTTTTCCCTTTGGGAGACTGAACAAAAGCAAAGCTTTTGAGTGTTTGCTGTCCCCATGGCAGCTAAATGAGGGTCTTGGAATGACTCCCTTGTGTTCCTCAAGCCGCACTTTGGGGCCTTCTCTGCAGTATTAGCCCCCTTTTTGCCCAGTGATGCTCTGTCTGTGCCTGTATGTGTGTGACAGTCACTTTTGCATGCCTTTTGTGTCTGGCTCCCAGCATTTGGGGACAGGATGCTGGAACCAGAGCATTTTCAGCTTGTCTGAGGCTTCTTTGCCAATTATAGGTCATTCCTGTTTACCTGGTATGTCTGCTTTCTTAACTTCTTTTCCTTGCCTTCTCCTGGGAGAGGGAGGATTCCTGATCGGGGTTGAGGTGAGCTGCACGTAGCTCATTGCCTTTTCCCCTGCATGGCCTTCTTAGAGCAGGACAAGTGGCATATTATTTCACTAAGTTCCCAAACATCTAAGCAAGTAACACATTCCCTGCAGATCCAGAAACAGGCTCAACAAGGTTATGTTTGACTTGCCCAAGAGTACCTAGCTGCTAGTGGGGAAAGCAAGCCATTACTGCCTCTGTTCAGCAGCAGGAATAGGCTGTGAATTGCTAGCAATTACTGTTTTGTTTTGCTTTTTTAGCAGTTACTTTTTGGCTTGTTCCGTAACCTTAAAAGCAAGGGGCCTACGTCTTTCCCAGACATAGGCTGGAATCTGCAGCTTCTGAGGTGCCACACACCGTATAGCTCTGCATTCTCAGCGTGGAGGGACTTTTAGAAACCAAGTGATCTGAGCTGTTACTGCCCACCCCTGGCTTTCCAGGATAGAAAATTCATGGTAGGAATAACTGTTCAGAGAAAGTACTTGGAACTACAAGGTTAATAAGAAAGCCTGCATAATTAACATATCTGTACCCAGAGCAGCCACCATGACTTGTCTATCAGCAGGAAAATGATTTGTATTGAGTTCCTGTGTGTCCAAAGCTGAGGCACCATGTCCTTTGAAAATATGCACTGCACTGCACTGCTTCTATTTATGGGGACCTGTGGCTGCAGAGCTGGCTCCTGAGTTGGGAAGGAGAGGGAAGGATGCAGCTGGAAGTGACCGAAGATGATGTGGTAGTGGGAAAAGGCAGAATTAAGGGAGAAAAGAGTCTGTGGGTCAGAGAGGCTGAGGAGCACCAGGGCTGCCAGGACACCCTCAGTAGGAGCCAGAGGTGCTTAAGCTCTCCTGGGGGTGGGGGGCGCACCACGCTCTCAAGAGTCAGGGCCAAAGCCTCTGATTTATATGTGACAGTGACATTGCACTGCTCAACCACCAGCCAGTGGGGTATTTTTTTTTTTTTTTTTAAGAAAACCGTTGCAATCATAATTAATGCTTATTAAGAAAAATCTGGGACTTTTAAAAAGAATCAGTTTGCCACCAAAATGTTACCACTGCTAATCTTTTGGTGTTTAGTGTTTCTCTAGACATTTCTGTGCATAGATTTTTGGTGTGTTTACATAGTTGTTATTCTACTGTATATACAATTTTATGTCCTTTTTGTACTTAACATATAAACGTTTTTTCCATGTTATCTGTCTTAAACAGAATTTTATGGCTGCAGCCTCTTCCATTGAGTTTTCATAGCATTGTTTGCCTGGTTCCTAGAGTTGGAGGGAGGGGGTGGGTTGTCTCCTGTTAGTCCTCCTAGCTCACACTGGGACTCATTGTAATGCTGTGTGGATGGGTTGTTGGGCTCCCTGGGACTGCCTCTGGTGACTAAGGCCTGTGGGCTGGTGGGAGGAACCCCTAGATCCAGCTCTCAGTGCATAGCAGCCTGGGTCTCCTCAACTCCATGTTCTAATAAGCAGCCGTAGGGCCAGAAATGAGTGACCAGGAAAAGGCCGGCCTGAGATCCTCAAAGACTGCATCTGGCATGTACCTCAGGCTGCCTTTCATCCCCCACTGTTACCTCAACCCTTGATCAGATTGGCAGCCTCTAGCTGGAATAAGGTTCATCCTCCTAGGCCCTGGTTTGTGGGGGGCAAGGATAGTGGGGTGCCTTTGAGGCTCCTGTACCAGTTCTGGCAGAAGGCCTGGCCACTTGCTTGTAAACCCATTGCCTGGCCGGTGAGTTGATAACTCACTAGTAGCATCCTCAGCTGCAACACCTTTGGCCTGCCACTTTGCGCATGGTTATTAGAGGTTGGCCAAGGACTCTGGAGGTCAGCAGAGGGAGCGTCCCGGCTTGTGAGTGGTAGGCCATGCATAGGCTCTCAACACGACTGCCCAAGCAGGAAGAGTCCCCCCCTCACGGCCTGGTGGGAGGGCTACTGCAGCGTTTGGCTCTGCTGAGAGACATGAACACGTAAGTCAGTGGCTGCCCCTGCAGTGGTCACTCCTGTCAGTTTGGCTTGTTCGCAGTTGAGAGACCCACTGTTGCCCACTCCCTGGGTTTCAGCCTGGTGGTGTGAGGAGCAAGACCAGGCAGTGGGCCGGATCAGAAGGAAAGCAAAGCAGACTTGGGGCAAGCAGGCTCAGTAGTTGATGTGGGTGATTGGTTGGCAGGCTCAGGATACTGCCTACGCTTTGCTGGGGTGGGGGGGGGAAGGAAGGTGAGTGGTGGGGGTGGGGACTGCTGAGGAAAGAGGAAGTAAAACTGCAGGCTGGTAGGGCACACTCTTGTTCTTGCCAGCTGCCTAATTAGAGTCCTGGAGAGGCTGCCCAGAGCTTCTGGGGCCAACCACATTTTCTCAGGACCAGCTGCGGACAGATGTAGGCCCAGAAGTGCTGGGCTATGGAATATGACTAGGTAAAAAATGAGTAGTTTCGTAGTTTTTCCTATCTCTTCCCTAGAGAACATGCAGGAAGTAGAGTCTAAAATGAGTTAACGGGCAGGAAAGGAGGTCTGAAAGTCTCCCCATTGTGTTAAATAAACAAGTTTAACCATCAGTTTTGTGGCCTACTGGCCCTTGTCCTTTCTGGCTGCAGTTTAGGGCTATGAGTTGCCTGGCAAGAATTAATCTCAATTGTAGACCAAAGTAGGAGTAGATCAGGGAAGAGTTAGGAAAGGCTGAGGTCATGAAATTCAACAAATAATTCAACAAACACTTACTGAGCATTTGAGCCTTGGCAAGTGCTGGATGATAAAAAGAGTCTTGTGAGGAACATGAAGAACTAAGCTACTCATCAAACAGCAAGCTCTGGAGCCCCAACTGACTTGCTGTCTCCAGTTGGTAAATCTAGCTTTATTATAAATTTACTATAAACTTTATACTAAAATCACTATAATTTGCCTTAAAAAAACAAGGCATCCCTTCCGATACCTCAAGCCCAGAGCCCACAGATGGTGGTGGAGACCTCCTTTCTGTTCCCTGGGCAGCAGTTCTCTCACTGGGGCTCACCCCAAGCTGCGAACTGGGGACGCCACAGAGAAAACACAATGCTGACTATAGGCAAACTTGTAAGATGGAGCTAAGGCTAAGAGTGATTTTTTTAGAAGGGAACAAGAAAAAGCAAAAGGTATACTGTAATGTCAAGCTATACAGCAATTCACGATTCACAAGGGTTCTTCTGCACACAAACATTTAATAGGAAGGTGATGGGGAACAACAAAACAGTGTTGTTGAGGCATCAGCCTAGGGCAGGGCTGGAGCCAGAGAGGAGCAATCGGGAGACTGGGCTAGAGGCAGCAGCAGTAATCGGGGCGTTCACTACTCAGCCAACTCTGGGGCTCCTTCTTGGCCCTTAGTTCTCCCCCAACTTTAGCCCCTGGGCCTGTGCCTCTCCTCCAGCACAGAGGGGAGCAGGGTAGGACCTGAACTGGTCTCTCTCCAAGGGCTGCTTCAAGATGGCTGTTTAGCAGATACGAGGCTTCCCATAAGACACTGCATGGGCTTTGGGGGGTTGTTTGAGTAGACAATCTGACATTCATGCATTAGAGACCTGGATCCAAGCACAGGATGTCTGCCCTTCCTGGCATCCTTGGCCAATGCCCTTAGTCCAGCTGTCCCCATCTGGGAATAATATAGTGGGCTGTTAAGGATCCTATCTGAGGAGGCTTACATGGATTCCTAAGTTGTAAAGTGACTCTGCCAGACATTATTGATAGCGCTCTTTCCCTGCCTGCCAAAGGGGGACCTGGGGAGCTGGACTCCCTGCGTTCTTCCAGTTCTGACTGCCTCGTAGAAATGCTTCCCTTGAAGTGGGTTGGGGGGTCAGGGCTGGGTCTGGGGGTGGGGCAGGCAGACCTGCTGTTGACCATGGTGGACGCTCACAATGCACCTGGCCCGTAAGTGGTTCTGGGATGCGATGTTTGAATCCTCAGTGGCTACTGCGCCCTTGGCCCTGGTTGTGCAAGGGAATCACGAACACAGAGACGTCGTCGTAGGACACCTGCCCTTCCTGTGTGGGACTGTCGTCCTTCCCCTGTGTGCTGTGTATCAGCATTTGGGCCAGCTCCGAGAACCTGTGGGGACCATCCTGCAGATGTACTTCGGGGCCAGAGCAAAGAGGCAAGGCCAGCCCTCAGGGAGAACTTGCACAGTGCTGAACACTGAGGACCCAAGCAATGCAGTCTAACTGTGGGGCCAAGCAAGCCACAAGCCTGGGAAGGCCACAGGTTGGACCATGGGTTTCTGGACTCAGAGATTTGGGGACCCACAGTCACCCCCAGGAAGCTTGAGATAGCTCTAGTCCTGGCCAACTGTTCTTAGCCGGACTCATCTGCAGTGTTGTCTTCTCAGCCATGACTTCTTGGTGTTTCTGCTGGCACCAACTCAGGCCCAGGCAGATCCCCAGCAGCTATAGTACCTGTGTGGGTCCTCTCGGTTGCCAGGGAGGAAGCTCCGCACCAGCCGTGCCACCTGCTCACTGGACAGGACCTCCCAGAGCCCATCAGTCGCCATGACAACTACATCCTCTTCCTGCGGCTCCAGCTGGTCCATATCCAGCACAGTCACCTGCAAGTTAAGCCTAAGGTTTCCTCACTGGCTCCCTTCCCAGCTCCAGCCAACCTTGCGTAGTCTGCCTTTCTGGGCAGATAGAAGCTGGTGTAGGCTATTGCCCCCTCACCTGTGGGACAGAGAGCAAGAAGGGCTTGAGCTGAATATTTGTGTCCAGGACTTTGAGCTGATGGTCTCCTAGGCCCCGGGAGACAGCCAGTGTTCCCAGTAACCGAGCCTGGAGACAAGGGAGGTATGAGGTGACAGCAAACAGCCCCAGCAAATGTACAAGTAAAGCACACAAGAGGTGGACTGTGGCCCTGGGCGCCTGGGCTGAGGGAGAAACACCCTCTGACCTCGGAGCAGTCCCTAGGACCCCAGCTAAAGCTCCCCACAAGGGACAAAGGAGCTCCCACCTCTACAGGGGGCAATTTAAGAGAGATTCTTGGAGGCGCCATTCACTGACCTGCCTACCCTGTCCATGAATCAGTGGGTACTTGAGATCCGACTGCTCCACGCACTTGTAGCTCCTACCAGGAGCAAACCCAGTATCAACCCAGGCCCTACTTACCACCTCACCACCCCCAACACAGGGCCCACCCTGCCCAGGTAGAAGGGGACTGCCCCAGGCCACACAGCTGAGCCTGGACCCCAGGGCTCTCCCCACTGTGTCCCCCAACCCCACCTCGCTCACCAGCCGCTCATGTGGTGATCCCTGAACAAAACCTTCTGCCCCAAGTCATCCCCCTTCAGTCGCCGAGGGAACTCCAGTCTGGTGAACTCACCAGCCAGAAGCTCAGGGTAGAGAAAGGCCTGGAATAGGGAGGCCATGCTCAGATCAGGCTCCCTCTGGTGGCCCAGGAGTTGGGGCTGCACAGCCTCCCTCTGCCAAGGGCACCTACCAGCTGCTGGATCCGCTGCCGCTCAGTCTCCGGGGTGAACTCAGAGCTCAGGGGCCGTACCTCATCCCTCCGCACCAAGATGGCCCTGGATGAGGTTTTAGAGGAGAGAGAAGTCTGTGGGGCAGCCTCCATCCTTACCCATAGCCTCCCTCCTGCCGGCCCCTTCTCCAACCACCAGGGGCCAGTTCTGCCCATAACAATCCCTTGCTCAAAGGCCCCCATGACTGCCTAAGGCCTGCAGGGTAAAGCCGCAGCCATCTGGCCTGGCCCCTGAGGTCTCTGCCCTCCCTGGCATCTGCTGTCCGCCCTCACACTCAACACATGCTAAGTACACATGCTAAGTACACAATTCAGCCAATCTTCCCCAATTCTGTCTCGACTTCCCCCTTTCACTATCCCCACTGCCTCTGCTGCCTGTCTGCCCACCCGACCCTACCCACCCTCCGGGCTCACTCACCTGCTATCCCCAGCATTGGCCACATACAGCTTTCCTTGCAGGGTCACAGCCACCAGGGCTGTGCAGCCACCCACCTGGCCTGAGGCCTCCAGCTCTCGCCCAATCACCTCATCCTGGAGCAAACCAAGGCTACTTTAGCTGCTGCTTGTACTGCCAGCATACCACTGTCCCCAACCCTCACCCTACAGTTTACTTCCCCACTAGCAAGCAGTGGCAGTCCCAGCGCAAAGTCTAGCTATGACTCCAAGATCCCTGTGGTCAGGAGATCTAGACATATCCCTTTGGAGGTAGAGAAGTCCTATTCAAAA